CAGTGCTAAACCCTAAACCCTAAACCCTAAACCCTAAACCCTAAACCCTAAACCCTAAACCCTAAACCCTAAACCCTAAACCCTAAACCCTAAACCCGGTGAGGCCGGGGGGGCACCAGCACTTCTGCTGAAGGCACGTCATGCTAGCTTGGAATTCTCACGTGTCGTGCTTTTTGTTCTGGTGTTAATTGCCTTCTTTCTTTCCCGCTTTGGTCTTAGGTGACTTAGTATTATAGCTCGTACTGGTATACGTATATTGCTGCTACTCGTCTACTAGTCTTAGCATTCGGATTAGCACTAGTACATGCAGTAGCTAGCATGCGAGCGGGCAGACGCAGCAGCATCAGCACAAGAGTACCAGTAGCACAGTGGCATGAAGGTTAGTGTTCATGCTGGAGTTGGTGCTGGCAACGTCTGTTTTTCTTCTTACCGCAGACCGACCCCAGACACCGGATGTCACCATGCCAGGTGAAGACTCTGCAGAGCCGGCAAAGGCAGCCAAAGGCAAAGCCAAAGGCGGCTTGGACCAGCAAGTGTAAAGTGAGATGTCGCTGGAAAGTGCAGATCTGTCAGGTTTTGGCAAAGGTGGTGCACAAGCGCAGGCTCATGCGACAAGCACTTGCTTTGAGCCTTGAGCTGCCCAAGGGCGCTTTACCGAGATAATTGCAAGTACCAGTCTTCGAATTCAGAGCAAACAACACACGTCTGGAACGCAGTTGCGCAGGGGGCGGAGCATGAGACTTTGTGATGAGTTGCGTCAGATGCCTTGCCTTCAGCTGAATCAGCATTGCGTAAGGCCATTTGTTTCAGCGTGACAGGCACCACTCCCGCCGCCGCCGCCCACGCCTGCAGCAGGCGCACCGACGTGCTTCTTCTCTTGCTGACAACTGGGCCTACGACGCCACGTGCCAGGGGCGACAGACGCAGAAGCTTCAGCCGAAACAGCCCCGCAGCCTTCTGCAGAAGCTGTGCCGACAGCGCCGCCCAGTGATCAAGGCTCGCAAACAGCTGGCCAGATGGAAGCACGGGCCAGAACACATCAGACCCGAAGCTTACCTCAAAAGCTGACATGCAGCTTGGGACGCCAGGTGCATGCGTGCATGTATCTAAGTGGCAAGTATTTGCGTTGCAACAAGGTTTGTCTTGCGCTGGTTTGCGTTGTTGCGTTGCGCGAGCGCAAGGCTAAAGGTCAAGCTTGCTGTGCATTGCTGCAAGCTTGTGGCTCTTCCTACAGGGCTTGTAGTTGCAGGAGGGTTGGCCTTGTGTGTTAGCTGAGCCCTGTGTGAGCATTTTGCTTTTCCCGCCCAACACGACCCAGGGGGTGGGGATGTTCGATTCGGCCCTGGCCTGCTTTGAGGAGGGATCTCTTCTTGAAAGGGCCGGTCAAGAGTCTCACTCGTTGCTGTTGGGACTGCTTAAGACTCGCGACTCCACCATCTCAGGGTTTGTCTACGCGCTGCTTGAGCACTTGCGTTCTCATTACTGCCAGGCTAGGAGGTCCCTTTGGCTGGGTTTTGTTGCGTAGCTAAATACTTCCCACAATTCGTGGCCTTGCAAGCCCGGGAATTTGCAAGCTGGCAAAAGCATGCACAGATGTACTGAGGACTTTGTGCCCAAGATGCCTTTGAACACGGAGGTACCCACACTGGACGTCTCTCTCCTGACGTCACCTTGCCAGGCGACGACTCTGCAGCTACTGAAACAATTGCAGATGCAGAGCCGGCAAAGGCAGCCAAAGGCAAAGCCAAAGGCGCCTGACTTTTTCGGGCCTTGGTGTCGCCGGGTTGTGCAGACTGTCTGTCAGGTCCTGGCAAAGGTGCGGGTGCACAAGCGCAGGCCCATGCAAGAAGCACTTGCGACAGAAGCGTTGAGCCTTGAGTGGCCCAAGATGCAATCACAAGTCTTCGATAACTCAGAGAAACATCATTTCTGGAGCACAGTTGAGCAGAGGGCGGAGCCTCAGTCTTTGTTAATTTTGAGTTGCGCCAGATGCCTTCATTGAGGTTGAGTCACGCTTGTCTAAGGCCATTTTGTGATGATATTCTTTCAGCGTGGCAGGCACCGCTGCCACCGCCGCAGTCCACGCCTGGAGCAGGTGCGCCAACGTGCTTCTTCTCTTGCTGACAGCTGGCCCTACGACACCACGTGCCAGGGGCGACAGACGCAGAAGCTTCAGCCGAAACAACCCCGCAGCCTTCAGAAGAAGCTGCGCCGACAGCGCCAGGCTCGCAAACAGCTGGCCAGATGGAAGCATGGGTAACAACACATGAGACCCGAAGCTTACCTCAAAGGCTGAGGTGCAGCTTGGGACCATTCGTTGCCATGCAAGCCCCAGCATTTTCAAGCTGGCAAAAGCATTCACGATGTCCTGAGGACTTTGTGCGGACATTTCTCTCCTGCTGTCACCTTGCCAGGCGACGACTCTGCAGCTACTGAAGCAGTTGCAGAGCCGGCAAAGGCAGCCAAAGGCAAAGCCAAAGGCGCCTGACATTTTCGGGCCTTGGTGTCGCTGGGTTGTGCAGACTGTCTGTCAGGTCCTGGCAAAGGTGCGGGTGCACAAGCGCAGGCCCATGCAAGAAGCACTTGCGACAGAAGCGTTGAGCCTTGAGTGGCCCAAGATGCAATCACAAGTCTTCGATAACTCAGAGAAACATCATTTCTGGAGCACAGTTGAGCAGAGGGCGGAGCCTCAGTCTTTGTTAATTTTGAGTTGCGCCAGATGCCTTCATTGAGGTTGAGTCACGCTTGTCTAAGGCCATTTTGTGATGATATTCTTTCAGCGTGTCAGGCACCGCTGCCACCGCCGCAGTCCACGCCTGGAGCAGGTGCGCCAACGTGCTTCTTCTCTTGCTGACAGCTGGCCCTACGACACCCCAGGGGCGACAGACGCAGAAGCTTCAGCCGAAACAGCCCTGCAGCCTTCAGAAGAAGCTGCGCCGACAGCGCCGCCCAGTGATCAAGGCTCGCAAACAGCTAGCCAGATACGGTGGAAGCATGGGTAGCAACACAGCAGACCCGAAGCTTACGTTAAAATCTGACATGCAGGTTGGGACACAATGGGTGGCCATGCAAGCCCCAGAATTTGCAAGTTGGCAAAAGCATTCACAGATGCTGAGATGCCTTGAACACGGAATGCCCGACAACGGGTATTTCTTCCGATGTCGCCTTGCCAGGTGCAGACTCTGCCGCTCCTACAGCATCTACGGCGCCGGCAAAGGGAGCCAAAGGCAAAGCCAAAGGCGCCCGCCATTTTCGAGTCCCAACCTAACCGTACGTCAACAACACGGGAACATTATAGAGAAGAATGATCCTTTCAAGCTGCTTTTCGGATTTGTCCCGGTCAAGCTTAGTGGAGTCCTTTCCCATCCTTTTCGCTCCGAGCAGTTGTGCAGTTACGTGGGAAGTACAACTCCTAAGACCCAGAGTAGGCCCTTATTGCTTTCTTTCAGGGTTTAGATTCCCTTAGAAGTTCCCTTTAAAACAGAACGGGCACCCTTTTATTCTTAGGTTACTCTTGGGTCTGGACTCTGGGGTTGTTGCAGAACCCCTTCCCCCGAAGTAGACCCCAAACATGATAGGAATGTTCTCTTGCCATCCTTGAGTAGAAGTAGGACAGAATCTTTAAAAAAACAAGAACCATGCAAATCTTGCCCTCCTTATCTTCGCCGTCTTGTATCTGCAGCCAGTGGCTTTGCAGGCCCTGGAAAAGGTCCTGGCAAAGCTCCGCTGACTGCAAAGGCACATTTCCAAGGGTGTAGGCTTTTAGGATTGCAAACAGCGTCGGCGCCCTAAAGCCGAACAAGGTCGATTGAGTCGTTGGTGGACTGAGGCCCTAAGTTGCTAAATCCGACACCCTGCCCAAGATGCGGACACTTCACCGAGATAACTGTAAACACAAGTCTTCGATAACTCCGAGAAAACATCATTTCTGGAGCACAGTTGGGCAGAGGGCGGAGCCTCAGTCTTTGTTAATTTTGAGTTGCGCCAGATGCCTTCATTGAGGTTGAGTCACGCTTGTCTAAGGCCATTTTGTGATGATATTCTTTCAGCGTGGCAGGCACCGCCGCCGCCGCCGCAGTCCACGCCTGGAGCAGGTGCGTCAACGTGCTTCTTCTCTTGCTGACAGCTGGCCCTACGACACCCGGGCGACAGACGCAGAAGCTTCAGCCGAAACAGCCTTGCAGCCTTCAGAAGAAGCGGCGCCGACAGCGCCGCCCAGTGATCAAGGCTCGCAAACAGCTAGCCAGATACGGTGGAAGCATGGGTAGCAACACAGCAGACCCGAAGCTTACGTTAAAATCTGACATGCAGGTTGGGACACAATGGGTGGCCATGCAAGCCCCAGAATTTGCAAGTTGGCAAAAGCATTCACAGATGCTGAGATGCCTTGAACACGGAATGCCCGACAACGGGTATTTCTTCCGATGTCGCCTTGCCAGGTGCAGACTCTGCCGCTCCTACAGCATCTACGGCGCCGGCAAAGGGAGCCAAAGGCAAAGCCAAAGGCGCCCGCCATTTTCGAGTCCCAACCTAACCGTACGTCAACAACACGGGAACATTATAGAGAAGAATGATCCTTTCAAGCTGCTTTTCGGATTTGTCCCGGTCAAGCTTAGTGGAGTCCTTTCCCATCCTTTTGGCTCCGAGCAGTTGTGCAGTTAAGTGGGAAGTACTGCTCCTAGGTTCCTTTTTTGTTCAGGGTTTAGGTTCCTTCAGAATCTTAGAAGCCCCTTTAAAACCAAAAACGTTGTTAAAACGGGCACCCTTTTTATATATTCCTAGCTTACTCTTGGGTCTAGACTCTTGGGCTGTTGCAGAACCCCTTCCCCCGAAGTAGACCCCAAACATGATAGGAATTTTCGCTTGCCATCCTTGAGTATAGAAGCAGGAGAGATAAAAGCATGCAGGAACCAGGAACCATGCAACGCCATCTGGTATCTGCCGCCAGTGGCTTTGCAGGCCCTGGAAAAGGTCCTGGCAAAGCTCCGCTGCCCAAAGTTATGGCTGCAAAGGCACATTTCCACTCGGTGTAGGCTTCAGGGTTTCTAGGGTTGCAAACAGCATCGGCGCCTTAAAGCCTAACAAGGTCCATTGAGTCGTTGGAGGACTTGAGGCCCTAAGCTGCTAAATGTTGCACCCTAAACCCCACGTGACTGAACCCGAAACTTGCCCTGAACCCTACAAAACCCTAAGGTGCTAACCCAAAACCCCTAAGACACTCACCCCTAAACCCTAAGGCCCTAAACCCTAAACCCTAAACCCTGTTTAACCGGCCTCCGTGCCTTGCGCATCCCAAACGCACTTGCCTCGAAGGGTGCGATGCCGAAGGGCGGTGCGAGGAATGACGGAGGCGCTCGGCTCAGGTTTCAGGGTTTAGGGTTAGGGTTTAGGGTTTAGGGTTTAGGGTTTAGGGTTTAGGGTTTAGGGTTTAGGGTTTAGGGTTTAGGGTTTAGGGTTTAGGGTTTAGGGTTTAGGGTTTAGGGTTCAGGGTTTAGGGTTCAGGGTTTAGGGTTTAGGGTTTGCAAAGCGGGTTTAGGGTATCAGGCCGGTGCGGCGGTTTGCAGGTGTGTGAAGCGGGGATTCCTTTCTGGCAGTCACCAAGTCCCAGTCGCAAGAAGGGCTTAGGGTTTAGGGTTTAGGGTTGACAAGAGTCGTGCTGAAAAAGGTTCAGGGTGTAGGGGTTCAGGGTTTGGGGTTTTTGTCAACCCCTGCTTGCAAGAAAGGGTCATCGTGTTTTAGGGTTCTGCGTGTTGCGTTTCAAAAAGCGCAGGGACGACGTGATCAACCCTGTGGAAGAAAAGCATGGTAAAAATCCAGACATGCAATCTTCACCTAGGCAGTATCGTTTCTTTTTTCCGGCCCTCAACCTGGATCATAATCCAAAAACCCTGAAACCCTAAACCCTAAAACAATGGCCCCTCACACCTGGCTCTTGGTCAGGCGCAGAGGCTGACGACTGGCGCAAAGGTAGGAACACAAGGTGGAACCCTTTTAGGGTTAGGGTTTAGGGTTTAGGGTTTAGGGTTTAGGGTTTAGGGTTTAGGGTTTAGGGTTTAGGGTTTAGGGTTTAGGGTTTAGGGTCTCAGGTTGTAGGGCCCTCCGGGAAAGTTGTGGTGGCTTTCATGGTGCAAAAGCCCCCCCTCGCCTTTCGAGTCAGTCAAAATCCTGAGAAAAGATTTTCAGATCTACGGGGTTTTGAAACCCCAAAACCCTAAACCCTAAACCCCAACCCTGAAACCCTAAACCCTTAACCCCTTAAACCCTTAAACCCTCAAACCCTAAACCCTTTGCATCCAAAAGGCCCTCAAAAAGCCTCCTAGTCAGCAGATTGCCCAGCACGTCCAGGTGTCGAACATGACATGTGCCGGGCTGTCAACCGAATCGGAGAGCCAGCTAAACCCTAAGCCCGAAACCCTACTGGGCCAGGCGGTTGCAGTGGCAGCGCTTGAAAGCATCTTGCTTGGTGGACAAGACGATCTTCGGCGAAGAATCGGACGCGGAGGTTCAGGAGCCCCTTATTTTTGTGGCGCGCGCAGGGCGCTGTGCTGAGCGTGAGTCGCGTGGAACATGCTGCCAGGATTCCTTCGATCAGGACATACAGCTCTTCGTGCTGGAAGACCAGGGGAGAAGGCCCAAATCAGTCACTAGGACCCAGAGTAAGCCCTTATTTAGGGTTTAGGTTCCCTAAACCCTAAACCCTAAACTCTGAACCCTGAACCCTGAACCCTAAACCCTAACCCTAAACCCTAAAACCCTCAACCCTCAACCCTAAACCCTAAACCCTAAACCCCCTGTAAAGCAAAAGGTCACTCAGATTTCGCTTTCAGGGTGTCACCACCAGTCGCAGCCATTGCCAGGAACTCCGGTGGCAGTGAGAAAGCTGCTAAGGCAGAAAGAGATGTGCATGCGTTGGCCATACTTGTCGGATTCCATATACGTATATATATATACATATATATATATATGTATTGATTTATTTATGTATATATATATATAGGTTTTAGGGTTTATAGAGTGTAGGGCAGAACCCCGAACCCCAAAGCGGTACCTTGTAAGGCCGACCAGAATCAGAAAGAGGCTATCTTCGATTCAAAAGCTCGCCAAGGCAAGCTTTGCAAGGGCTTGTGTGCGTCCATGACGCCGTATCTTCGCGGTTTACTACTATTTGCTTAGGAGCCCCCCCCCCCCCCCCCCCCAACAAAAAAAAGAGTCTATTTTTCTTATCAGGAAGAAATAATGAGGCTTATTGTCTTTCATTTGTTGGGGGTTCTTCTGCAAATAGTAGTTCAGGGTTCTTGATTCTGGATAACATTGCACACTGCACGAGGGAACCAGCATCAGGTCTGAAAATCAAGCTCTCCAAGTTCTTGGACGCCCGCGACCAAGATCACTTCTGCGACAGCCTTCGTCGACTGGACCTTGAGGCAGCTGGGGCACGAAACCATAAAGATCCGTACATGTCGTGTCTCAGGGATTTCATGGGGTACATAATCCCTATTAAGGACTGTTAGTACAAGGGGGAACATCCCAATGTCTCTGAATGAAAACTAAAGAATTTGAGGTGTTCCGGGCTTCGAGAAGCTGCAGTGACTTTTAGCAGGTCGAGAGTAGACGAGAATGTACACAATACACGTGAAAATTAGTCACCCAGCCTAGGCAGGGGGGCCACTTGTCCCTCATGGAGGTGGTAGAATGGATCCTTTTCGCCATCACTGCATGCTGTTGTGTGGCCTTTGCGATGCAGGCCCTGAAAGAGACATTCCAGAACGAAGAGGACCGAGACATATTCGGGTTGGTTGTGGACGAGGCAGGGTTCGAGAAGACCGAGGCTGCTTTGAGGTTGAGTTGACTTGGTTTAGGCAGGGTGTCCGGGGAATGTGTTATATTTCTCGCGGGGGTCGCGCTGATGTTGGAGGAGCAGCGCGGCAAGTCTGGCTGTGTGTAGTCCGTAAACGTGTATGGGCCGGTTGAGTGAAGCCTTCTTTGCCTTGCCGTTCCGCCTCACGTCGTTCCATGCTTGAGTTTCCTGACCAGAGCATGATACACCTGCTGGCACATGCGTGCGTACACACGTAAAGGCCAGCATGTGAGGAAAAAGTATGCACGCACGCGTACGTGTACGATCAGTGTCTGAGGGTTTGATAGGGAGAGGGTTCAGGGTTTAGGGCGTCTAGGGTTGGCGTTGGGTCAAAAATCCGTTAGAGATTCTACCCTGTGTTTAGACCCCAAGACTTCAGAACTTTTGAATGCAGAGAGTACGGACCGTGCTTTGTCTTCAGTTGAGCTCAAAGGCCCCGCGGTGCACACCGTTCGGTTGGCATCCAAACAAGAGGGAAGCGTCTATTATTAGGCGAGGACCTATCGGCTACGAACTTGGACTTGCGGCAGAATCTGCAGATCGAGACAGCATCGGAACATCTTGCAACTGAACTTAAGATGGGTAAGGAGCCTTCCGCCATGGCCTTCGCTACTTTCAGGGAGGAGCTGGAACAGTTGCAGCTGGAGCATGGTCTGCAAGAGGACTTTAGGAAGAAGCGCTCAGCATCCAACATCAAGAAGCTTGGCAGGAGCAGGCAAGGATGGGCGATTACACCCTGCTAATCCCTTAAAAGGTCATTTATAGGGTTTAGGGTTTAGGGTTTAGTTAAGGGTTTAGGGCTTAGGGCTTAGGGTTAAGGGTTTAGGGTTTAGGGTTTAGGGTTAAGGGTTTAGGGTTCATTATGGGGGTTTGAAGGCCTAATGGCCCATCCTCAGGAGGTCCAGCTGGCAATGCTGGACGCGGAGTTTGTTCAAGCGGCGATGGAGCGAAAAGACTTCAATGCGATGTACTATGATCCACTGACACTACTGCGAGGGAAAGCCTTCTATGGCAAGCTGCTAAAGTTGCTGGAAGGAAGGTCGCTGGCTCTCGTGATGGCCGCCGCAGACTTGGACACTTTCATGGTGAACGACCACTGGTCCCAGGAGTCCCATGCCCACGGCGACGCTGCCATCATGCAGATGGCAGACTGCATTGACGAGTACTGCAGGGCCTTCAACCAAGAACAATCGGCCGCTGTCTGCGTGCCCTTCTGTTTTCACGGCGACGAGTTCGCGATAGCCTTCATCTCGCACGAGGAATCGCGCGAAGGCGCAGACTACAATCTCAAGGACCTTTCGGCTAAACTTGCAGCCATGCAGCTCTGCTAGGTTTCAATGCTCTCCAAGCCAAAACACACGGCATCAAGCCCAACAAACCAGTATTCAGCTTTCTTTGTCAGTGCTCAGCAGACTACTCCGCATTGAGTTCGAGAGTTTGTCTTGTTGGTGGGGCATGCGTGAAGGACTTCTTAGAGGAACTGCGCAAGGCCGTCGTTGCAAGCCTGCGGAAGGTCTTCGACTTCAGTTGCCTGGACCCAAATGGCAAGGAGGTCAAGGACACAGGCCCGGGCATCAGCATCGCGGCATCGGACTCATGGAGCTGCAGCAAATCGCTTTGGGAGCTCCACCGCCTCCACATCCAAGCAGAGGAGCGTTTGAATGATGCCAAGCCGGGAGAAGACTGCCAGGGTGGTGTGCAAGTGCAAGCAGATCGCTGCTCAGGGATCTCTTCTGATTCTTTGAATTCTCTTGTCAAGGACCTTCGAAACTTTGCAGCTACAGAGGCCCAGGAAAAGGCCGCCAGCGAGCTTAAGGACCTCGCCCGAGATGACGACAACAAGATTGCCATCGCAAATGCCGGTGCCATCCCGCTGCTGGTGCAGCTCCTGCGCGACGGCACGCCTCTGGCTCGGGAAGTGGCCGCGGGAGCTCTCCATAGAATGGCGGGCAATGACGACAACAAGATTGCCATCGCAACTGCCGGTGCCATCCCGCCGCTAGTGCAGCTCCTGCGCGACGGCACGCCTCTGGCTCGGGAAGTGGCCGCGGGAGCTCTCCATAGAATGGCGGGCAATGACGACAACAAGATTGCCATCGCAAAGGCCGGCGCCATCCCGCTGCTGGTGCGGCTTGTGAGCAGCGGCACGCCTCTGGCTCGGGAAAGTGCCGTGGGAGCGCTCCAGCGCCTGGGCGTGAAAGGTTGCTGCTGTCATCAATGTCAGCATCAGCACGTTAATTAGCAATCGCATCAGCATGTTATTTAAGTTAATTAGAAATCTGGGTTTGCGGTGGCTCCTCAGAATTCCAGGAGCATCACGATCTCAGTGCGGATGCCAACATAGCAGCATATCCTATATTCAAAAACATCATATAGACAATTGCTTTTGTTTCATATATTCTTGTCAGTTATACTGTAGAATATTATTCTGGTTATAAGGGAGTTTTAAGCGATTACATCTTTTAGTTTTATGAAACGTGAATATTGTAATATTAAAATACAGTAAGACTTTAAGATAAAGCCTCTCATGGTGTTCTTGGTGTTCGGGGTTTGAACTCGTGGAGTTCTTCTCCAAACACGAGGTCTGGAGTCGTAAGAAAAAGTTGGCATGACCAGACAACTGTGGACGTGACGGAAAAGTCTCACTGCCACATGGATGATCTCCTTTGTACTTCTTTCCCACATGCACACAAACCCCCATCGCAGCTTCATTCTCAGCAGGTGGTGAAGATCGGCACGGAGCACAAGGAGAAGCTCCTTCAAACTGGCGCGCTGCACGATTGCAAAGGACGTCTTTGGTCCTCGAGGGGGAGTTTGGGGCTTTAGGGTCACTTGAGAGAGGTTGCTGGTTCCGTGTCTAAATTGTTGGCTCTGTTTTTTTTCACAGACCCAGAAACCGCAGAGCGTGCTGCGATCATGATGTGTGAGCGGAGTGGAGACCATGTACGATGTAGATTCGCAATTCACTTTGTTCAAGCCTCTACGCAACGACGGGTATGTGTGTGTGTATACCCTTGAGTCCTAAAACAGAAGACCCCAACATGTAAAGTCTCATGCCTGAATCTTGTATGCCGGGGTGGGGGCCCGTGAAGTGGCGTTTTGGGATGCATAGGGTGTCAGGAGTTGTTTTTGCCAAATAAAGCTCTGGCTCCTTCACGGTGGGCCTAGGGTTTAGGGTTTATATAGAGGTTGTTCAGCCTAGAGTTGCCGCCCTTTGCAGAAGTTATCAGCATGACTGGATAAGGAATCTTTCGGGTTCGGGCTTGCCAGCAGCTGTGTGACTTAGGAAGACGACGTTTGTCTGGGATGAAAACTGCGAGGGCTTCTGCAAGAAGTCGGAAGCTCAGGTGATTTGCTGACAAGGGACAGGCTGAGCCACGTGCATTCCTAGCATGGAGGGCTTAAGGTTTAGTGCATAGAGGAAGGGTTAGAGTTAGGGCTTTTGGTTTGATTTTGGAAGTAAACCCTAAACCCTAAACCCTAAACCCTAAACCGGCAGAATCCTCATGCCGAGGTTGATGGAAATACCATTTGCCAAAGAGCGGCTGCAAGCACTGAAGGAGCACCTGTGCATCTCGGCCGAAAGCTGTGTGCTGCTTGTTTTTGCGGTTTAGGGTTTAGTGTTCAGGCTTTCCAGTTTAGGGCGTAGGATCTTGCCTTCTAATTAGGGTTTAGGTACCGTGGCTTTGGGCCCGCCATAATAAGCACTGCCCCTTAACGCTCGTGATTCATACTGTAGGCGCATTTGAGAAAGCGGATTCTGCAGGAGTGGCATATCTCGTGAGTTTGTACTCGAGTATTGGGTCCCACCTCTTGCCAGCAGCTGCAGGACTCATGCTTCAGCGCTGCCCAAGCCCCTAAACCCTACAACCCTGCGACCCTATAACCCTAAACTCCAAACCCCGAACCGTAAACCCTAAACCCTAAACCCTAAACCCTAAACCTAAATCCTACCGTCACCAGACTTCAGGCCTGGAAGCCGGGCTGGGTCCTGAGCTGCACGCCCTTTGAGCTCTGAGGTCTTGGGCTTCGGGTTTAGCTGACCGGGTTGGGATTTATAGGGTTTGCAGGGTTTAGGGTTTGTTCTTTCTTTTTTTTCTTATTTGTTGTGTTTTTTTTTTTTTTTTTTTTGGGGGGGGGGGGGGTGTGATAGTTGAATCTCGTGCGTATATGCCCTCCATGCCCTGCATGCCACGCAGACGCACCATGCCGGGACTCTATTGAACAGTCCCCCGCCCGTAAACAAGCAGGAGCCAGCATACTTAAATGTTTGGAGCTGTTTCTCGGGTAATACGTGCTTGGCGTGGACAACCGAAATGATGGTTAAACATGATTCGGATATGAATTAGATAGTACTGAGTAGCAAATGCACTATACTAAATACACACTCGTTAAACAAAATAATGAGCCGGTGAGGAACTTCTTGCTTGATTAGGCTTCCTGTTGAGGTAAATATTAACCCCCTCCTCTTCTCCCCATGTTGCCGAAAAGGCTTCGGACCTAGATCATGGGATGGGGGGGGGGGAGTCGAGGGCGAATACACACGCGTGCACGCACGCATGCCCAGACACATGCATAGTACATGCATGTATATCAAAGATGAGTATACATGTATATATATATATATATACACACACCTATTTGTTTTTTGTTTATATATATATATATGTACATAGGCCGTATATATTATATACATATGCGTGCATACATATGAGCAACTCTTACCGTCATTGGGCCCGTTGTTAGAGTGCCATGTCGTTGGGGGGAGCGAAAACGGTCCACGCTTCCTGCAGCACCACAGATCAGGTTTCTTAAGCCCTCAACCCTAAACCCTCTAAGTCCTAAACCCTCTAAGCCCTAAACCCTAGCCCTAAACCCTAAACCCCCGAAGCCCTAAACCCGTGAGGTTTAAAGAAACCGAGCAGCACATCGAGTATGTCGCGAAGCCGGTGGAAGCAGCTCGAAGCGCCAGCGTGTTCTCTGAAATAATCCCCCTCCCTCTGAATGTTAAACCCCCCCCCCACTACCCCCTAATATTAAGTACCCCTTATTATAGATATTATAGATAATTGTATTAGGGTATCTGGCCCCCCACTACCCCCTAATATTAAATACCCCGATTATAGATATTGTAGTTAAAATTGTATTAGGGTATCTGGGGGGGAGGGGGTATTTAATGTTAGGCGGTAGGGGTGGGTTTAATCTCAGGGGGAGAGGCTTAGTTCTTCAAAGAGGACCCAGCGCTGTCGCCAACACCGTGCACTATGGCATACTACGGACATTAGCACGTTTTACTAGTTCTGTGAGCGCATGTTTCTTTGGAAGAGTTTTTGCAATACATCCCGGAAGTAAGGTTCGTGTACAACAGTTCCATTCGCCACGGCTCCGTTCATTCGCGGCGGATTTGGTTGCCGGTCTGAGGCCGTACTGTCATGCACAGCTTTCGAGAAGATCATGCGCAGGCTGCCCCACGGCCTGTCTCAGCTTCGCTTGCCAGGTCTATCATGCACGAGGAACACAGTTGTTGGACAAGCAGTTTGTTGCACACGACATGTCGGCGGCTGAAGAGGATCCTCAGAATTGGCAACATGGCCAATACCGGACACAAGCTACTCGGAAATGCAATCGGCTTCGACGTGGTGAAGCGCCCGGGCTGCAAAAGCTGCGGAGGCTCAGGTCACGCTATGTCGCATCCGATAAAGGAAGGAGTGTCTACCTGGAGGTTCATGGGTAATTAGAAGTAGGGTTGTGAGTGCCTGTGAGAGAGAGGGTTATGAGTGCCCTATGTGTGGTCATAAGTTAAGTTCTCCTAGTTTTAACTTTCCTTATAACTGCCCATGAACCTCCAAGTAGAGGTTGCAGGAAGGAGTGTCAGCGTAGTGCTCAGAACATGCAGGCTCTCTGGCGAGCATTGGCAGAGTTCCCAAATAGTGCTGTAGATATCTCGACGTAACAGGTGCCAAGCAAGAGGGTTGCGATGCCATCATGAGTACTTGCTATCCGCGTCGTGCAGGTGGGTTCGGATCATTTGCTGTGTGGCGCCCCCAAGGTTTCTAGAGGAGAAGTTGTACGAGACGTACAAGCCCAACGGCAAGACATTGCTGTCGTTCCTCAACGACCATGTCTGCAGCGCCTTGGTCTGAACCGGTCATAATTGGTGTGGCCAATGTCCGAGTCCATATGTCAGGGTTTCTAAACCCCTAAACCCCTAAACCCCTAAACCCCTAAACCCCTAAACCCCTAAACCCTAAACCCTAATGAGGTTTAGGGATCTAGGATCTAGCCGGGCGGTGACCGAAAGCCCGTTGCAAAAGGGCTTAGGGATCCGCAAGTGTGGGCTACCGCTGAGAGTTGGAGTTGAATCCGAGCTGGCAAAGCAATGGAACTGGCAAGGCTAACTTTCGGTAGATGGGGACACGGAAGCCCTAAAATTTAGGGTTTAGGGTTTAGGGCCTGTTTAGGGTTACGGTTCAGGGTTTTGGGTTTTAGGGTTTAGGGTTTTTTGCCGAGTACTCCAGGAGTTTTCTTACGTGATCTAGTGACTGATGAGTCACTGATGTCATGGGCACAATTAGCCCTGGGTCTTTGGTCTCTGCTGGGCACCTTTGGGGGCACCTTCCGGGCGGTGTCTTGATGACTATTGCAAGAAGGGCATAGGAGGAGCGACGACACTCTTACCGAGATTGGAACCAGCCACCCACTCTTCAAAATCAGAACGGAAAGCTTTTGGCAGAAAGCTTGCGTGTAGCAGGGCACGTTCGCAAGGTGCAGGAGGTTCCGAAAATGTTGACCCTGGACTCCCCATTCGGAAGAGGCAAATTAAGACAGGGCCCAGGTACTGAAGCCTTAGCCGACATAAGGGTGCAAATTTCTTGCCCTTCCCTTCACACCCCCTGCGATGTGTGAGACGACGCTCTTCCGCATACTGCCTGTAGAGGATGTAGAGCTCGAAACTAAAGTCAATTGATTAGGCGGCTAAAGAATCCACAAAGCATAGCACAATGTGTCTAAACATGCCCATCTTATGGTTCGCTTTGCTTGCGACGAGCCAGAGGTGACAGTGACAAGGAAGAGATCAAAGTCCTTGCCGAAGAGCTCTCCGATTACGAAAAGAAGGCCTCTGTATTAGGACTTTGCGCGGATGTTGCCAGCTTCTTCGGTAAACTCCCTAAACCCTAAACCCTAAACCCTAAACCCTAAACTGCTGCCCTGCTCAGGGTACTAAAGAGCCTTGCATCGTGAAGGAGCTGAAGACCCTCGCGCTGCACTTCTTGTGAAGCCCTAAAACCCTACACCCCGAAACCCCTACACCCTAAACCCTAAACCCTAAACGCGAAATAATTCGAATAGGAACTTTGGGGGGGGGGGGGTTATTGTAGTACAATTACAAAGGGACCATAAGGGAATACTATTAGTAAGTATCTCGACCCCGATATCAAACCCTAAATCCTAAACTCCTGAACCCTAAACCCTAAACCCTAAAGCCTAAAGCCGATCCAAGGACATATACGGACAACCTCTATGGACAGTACTCGAAATTGCTCTCAGCCCTGCTCCTTGCCTTGCTTCAATGAGGATTTTGGTGGTTTAGCGTTTAGGGTTTAGGGCTTAGGGCTTAGGGTTTAGGCGCGTAGGGTTTAGGGTTCAGAAAAGCTGCAGGAAAGAAGCCTGGAAGCGACGCCAAGATGCCCAGCAGGAGGGTGAGGAGGTGCAGGGGGTACCTGTATATGGGGTTTTCCGAACATAGGGGTTTAGGGTTTAGGGTTTAGGGTTTAGGGTTTAGGGGTACCTTGTTAGGGTCCTTATCAACAGGGGGTCCTACTATTTGGGGATCTAAATTGGGGGTCCCCTATTTTCGTAAGCTCCCATATGTGAATGTGAAATGAAGCAGTACAGCAGATATGAATGGTGGCAGAAGAGGGGCAAGCAAAACGAGCAAATCAGCCCATGCACGAAGAAGCAAGATAGTAAGCGAATGAGCCAACCAATGTGAGGGCGCGAAGAGAAAGACATGCCCCCTTTACCCAAAACTCAAAAGTCCCGCGGTGGGGTGCGAGGGTGCTAGGCAGGTGGCAAAAAGAAAGATGATGATGTCGGGGTCGGAATAATTACTAGTCATATCCCCCCATGGTCCCTATAAAAATACACTATAATAACCCGCCCCAAAACCCTCTTCTAATTGTTAAGGCGCCAGTAAAACCCTGGAACGGTAAGCGTAGGGCTGCCCTTTGACGCATGGGGTGGGGGTTGCCTGGCTAGTCGCACTCACATGGAGCCTGCTGTTGCAGAGAGCGCTTGCAGAAACCGCAACCGGTTAAAGGTTTGTCAAAGGAGCTCAGATGTCAGATTCGGTGTCAGGTGGTGGATCGTTCCGAGGATTCCGAAGCCTTGCCTGCCGCGAGCAAGTGCGAGAGTCGAAGCCCTGAAACCCTAACCCCACTTCATGCAAGGCGGAAAAGACGATAAAGCAAGAGATGGACACGCTCATGAGGTACGACTCCGACCTTGAGGTTTCAGGTGACAATACGAGTTGTACTTCGTCGTATTCGTCTTTTGAAAGTATGTGTGCATACATATATATATATATACACAATTGTTCCATGTTCTGATTAGTACTCATTATGCGTAATTTGCTCTCTGAGATTCTCATAGCATCAGTTATATGTTGCAAATCAGTTCTTGCATAGTAGGATTTGTTTCCAATATTAGTCTATATATATATATATATGCTACCCCCCCCCCCATGGACCTACCAATTTCCTTTGTTTTTATCCATGAATTTCGCGGTCTAAGCCACATGGTTTGAAAACCATGGGTTTTATGGATAACATTTGTTTTGCCGATGTTTTCGGGCTCCATCCTTCAAAAACATTGGTAAAACCAATTATCCGTGAATTGGGTGCTCCCAGCCACATGGTTTGAAAACCATGGATTTTATGGATAACATTGGTTTTGCCGATGTTTTCGGGCTCCATCCTTCAAAAACATGGGTAAAACCAATGTTTGCCATGATTTTCGTGATCTGAGGCTCTCTCCCAGCCACCATTTCTCGAGGTAGTACCAAGCAACAAACTCGAATCCTGCAAAATCTCGAGGGAGTACCAAAACCTCCTTATAATCAATCACGCCCCAATACGCAAGACATGACATCTGTCCTAAAAACACTACCTTAGGTACGATATCTCAAACAGTCATCCCCCGATAAGCAAGACCTAATATCTATACTAAACCTGTACCTTAGCAACATATCTTAAGACATCACGCCCTAAGGCTCCTACCAATTTAATAAGGTTCCTATCAATTTCAACAGGATTCTTATGCATGTTACTGGGATTCGCATAGGATTCGCATTAATTTTAAAGGATTCCTATTGGATTAGGCTCATACTAGTTTAGTAGGATTCCTATCAGTTCTTGTTAAAGGATTCTATTGTTTTGAAGGCCTATTGGTTCCTATTGATTTAGAAAGATTCCTTCTCGTTTTAATAGGATTCCTGTGACTTGTAACCCGGGTTGTTTCCAACTTGTTAATGTTCCTATTCATTTTAATAGGCTTCCTATTAACTGTTGTCCGGTCCCGATAATTCAATAGAGGATTCCTATTTACTTTCATAGGATCCCAATAAAGTTTCATAGGGTTCCTAATTATTAATAAGGCCCCTATTTTCTGTAATAAGAGTCCTATCAATTTTAATCAGATTCTTATTCATGTTAATGGGGTTCGTGTTAATATTAAAGGGATCTCATTCACTTTCAAGGGATTCCTGTTGGTTTAGGCTCATGTTCATTTTAATCGGTTTGTCTAAAGGTTCACGTTATTTCTTATAGGAGTCCGATTGGTTCCTATTAATTTGAGTAGGGTTCCTCTTCAGTTTAATAGGATTCCTACTAATCCTATTAATTCTACGAAAATGTTGGGAGAGTACCAAAACCTCCTTACAATCAATCACGCCCCAATACGCAAGACATGACATCTGTCCTCAAAACACTACCTTAGCTACGATATCTCAAACAGTCATCCCCCGATAAGCAAGACCTAATATCTATACTAAACCTGTACCTTAGCAACATATCTTAAGACATCACGCCCTAAGGCTCCTACCAATTTAATAAGGTTCCTATCAATTTCAACAGGATTCTTATGCATGTTACTGGGATTCGCATAGGATTCGCATTAATTTTAAAGGATTCCTATTGGATTAGGCTCATACTAGTTTAGTAGGATTCCTATCAGTTCTTGTTAAAGGATTCTATTGTTTTGAAGGCCTATTGGTTCCTATTGATTTAGAAAGATTCCTTCTCGTTTGGATAGGATTCCTGTGACTTGTAACCCGGGTTGTTTCCAACTTGTTAAGGTTCCTATTCATTTTAATAGGCTTCCTATTAACTGTTGTCCGGTCCCGATAATTCAATAGAGGATTCCTATTTACTTTCATAGGATCCCAATAAAGTTTCATAGGGTTCCTAATTACTAATAAGGCCCCTATTTTCTGTAATAAGAGTCCTATCAATTTTAATCAGACTCTTATTCATGTTAATGGGGTTCGTGTTAATATTAAAGGGATCTCATTCACTTTCAAGGGATTCCTGTTGGTTTAGGCTCATGTTCATTTTAATCGGTTTGTCTAAAGGTTCACGTTATTTCTTATAGGAGTCCGATTGGTTCCTATTAATTTGAGTAGGGTTCCTCTTCAGTTTAATAGGATTCCTACTAATCCTATTAATTCTACGAAAATGTTGGGAGAGTACCAAAACCTCCTTACAATCAATCACGCCCCAATACGCCAAGACATGACATCTGTCCTAAAAACACTACCTTAGCTACGATATCTCAAACAATCATCCCCCGATAAGCAAGTCCTAACATCTATCCTAACACTGTACCTTAGCAACATATCTTAAGACATCACGCCCTAAGGCTCCTACCAATTTAATAAGGTAGGATTCTTATGCATGTTACTGGGATTCGCGTAGGATTCTCATTGATTTGAAGGGATTCCTATTGGATTAGGCTCATACTAGTTTAGTAGGATGTTAGAGGATAAAAACCATGATTTTTCAAACTACTCGGAGACCCAAGCCCATAGTTTGGAAAATCATGGTGTTTATGGTTTTTTATTGGTTTTTGCGATGTTTCGTGAGCATGGGCTCAAAAAACATCGGTAAAACCAATGTTTTTTTAAAGGTAGGGGTTCAAAAACATCGGTAACACCAATGTTTTGGAGAGGCCACCTTCAAAAAACATCGGTAAAACCAATGTTTTTGGAGCCCCTGCTCAGGAAACATCGCAAAAACCAATAACAACCATAAAAACCATGATTTTTCAAACTACTCGGAGACCCAAGCCCATAGTTTGGAAAATCATGGTTTTTATGGTTTTTATTGGAAAATTGCGATGTTTCGTGAGCATGGGCTCAAAAAACATCGGTAAAACCAATGTTTTTTGAAGGTAGGGGTTCAAAAACATTGGTAAAGCCAATGTTTTGGAGATGCCACCTTCAAAAACCATCGGTAAAACCAATGTTTTTGGAGCCCCTGCTCAGGAAACATCGCAAAAACCAATAAAAACCATAAAAACCATGATTTTTCAAACTACTCGGAGACCCAAGCCCATAGTTTGGAAAATCATGGTTTTTATGGTTTTTATTGGTTTTTGCGATGTTTCGTGAGCATGGGCTCAAAAAAACATCGGTAAAACCAATGTTTTTTTGAAGGTAGGGGTTCAAAAACATCGGTAACACCAATGTTTTGGAGAGGCCACCTTCAAAAAACATCGGTAAAACCAATGTTTATGGAGCCCCTGCTCAGGAAACATCGCAAAAACCAATAAAAACCATAAAAACCATGATTTTTCAAACTACTCGGAGACCCAAGCCCATAGTTTGGAAAATCATGGTTTTCATGGTTTTTATTGGAAAATTGCGATGTTTCGTGAGCATGGGCTCAAAAAAACATCGGTAAAACCAATGTTTTTTTGAAGGTAGGGGTTCAAAAACATCAGTAACACCAATGTTTTGGAGAGGCCACCTTCAAAAAACATCGGTAAAACCAATGTTTATGGAGCCCCTGCTCAGGAAACATCGCAAAAACAAATAAAAACCATAAAAACCATGATTTTTCAAACTACTCGGAGACCCAAGCCCATAGTTTGGAAAATCATGGTTTTTATGGTTTTTATTGGAAAATTGCGATGTTTCGTGAGCATGGGCTCAAAAAAACATCGGTAAAACCAATGTTTTTTTGAAGGTAGGGGTTCAAAAACATTGGTAAAACCAATGTTTTGGAGAGGCCACCTTCAAAAAACATCGGTAAAACCAATGTTTATGGAGCCCCTGCTCAGGAAACATCGCAAAAACCAATAAAAACCATAAAAACCATGATTTTTCAAACTACTCGGAGACCCAAGCCCATAGTTTGGAAAATCATGGTTTTCATGGTTTTTATTGGAAAATTGCGATGTTTCGTGAGCATGGGCTCAAAAAAACATCGGTAAAACCAATGTTTTTTGAAGGTAGGGGTTCAAAAACATTGGTAAAACCAATGTTTTGGAGAGGCCACCTTCAAAAAACATCGGTAAAACCAATGTTTTTGGAGCCCCTGCTCAGGAAACATCGCAAAAACCAATAAAAACCATAAAAACCATGATTTTTCAAACTACTCGGAGACCCAAGCCCGTAGTTTGGAAAATCATGGTTTTTTATGGTTTTTATTGGTTTTTGCGATGTTTCGTGAGCATGGGCTCAAAAAACATCGGCAAAACCAATGTTTTTTGAAGGTAGGGGTTCAAAAACATTGGTAAAACCAATGTTTTGGAGAAGCCACCCTTTTTTGAAACATCGGTCAAGCCGAGGTTTCAAAAAAAAGGTAGGTCCATGGGGGGGGGGGGGTACCATATCTATATATATATATACCTCTACATATATATATATACATACAGGGTAGGACATGTGAGATTCTTGCTCTTGCCTCGGGTGTCTGGCTCGGGTGCCTCTAGTCCGCTTGTCAGCGGATGCCCCGTTTGGAGAGGGTTTAGGGTTTAGGGTTTAGGGTTTAGGGTTTAGGGTTTAGGGTTTAGGGTTTAGGGTTTAGGGTTTAGGGTTTGGGGCGTGTGCTGGCAGCCTCAAACCCTGTTGCTCGAAAGTTTTTAGTGTTTTGAGGGTAGGGTCGTTTGTCAGCGGCTGGGCGGCGCCTGACTGTTTGCTTCTACGACTCCAACCAGACTACCATGTCAGGCTCACCAGCTAACGGCCAGTGAAGAGGGGGGTACACATGCGCCAAATCTCTAAACCCTAAACCCTAAACCCTAAACCGCTAAGTCTGCTAAACGCACGAGGCTTTTGAAGCACATCCTTTTGGCATCAGGCTCCACAAGCAGAGCAGAGTCAGTAGGCATTTGTCCTCACAACCTTCGCTCGATGATGTTCTACGATGGTCTTGTACCTGGCCCACCTCGGAACTGACCGGTTTAGGGTTTAGGGTTTAGGGTTGCGACGGAGGCTCTGTCACTGACCTGTCGCATCTGCCGAAAGCCGAATCTTTACAAAGGACATATTGACAAGAGCATATCGTATGTCTGCAGAACACGCCACGCAAGCGTCTTTTGCTCGAAGGGGGAGTTGCTTTCCTGAATTGTCCCTAAACCCAAAACCCCAAACCCCAAACCCAAAACCCTAAACCCTAAACCCTAAACCCTAAACCCTAAACCCTAAACTAAACCCTAAACCCTAAACCATTCAGCTCCGAGTTGGGCGAGGTACAAGGCCATCGTAGAACATCATCGAGCGACGTGTGCCGACTTGGAGGCCAGGATCTGTTTGGACTGGCGCAAAAGGCGCAGTAGGGCTTAGGGCTTGGGGCTTAGGGCTTTAGAGTTTAGGGTAGCTTAGGGTTTAGGGTTTTGGGTAGTAATCCCTTTCCCCTTATTCTAAATCCTCCCTACCCACTAATATTACAAACTCCCATTAGATATAGTTCTACCGCAGTATATGGGGGATATTGAATATCAGGGTGTAAGGGGTTGGCTTAGTAGTAGGGGGAGGGGAGCACACTGCAAAGTGCAAGTCAGCTGTACTGCGGAGCAGGGAGGGAATGGAATCGTGCCTTCTCTCCTGCAGCTGTAGAGCGCGGGGCTAGGGTTTCGGATTTATGAAGGCCTGGTTGTCATGCGGGGCGCGGCAGACTGGGAAGATGCCGGGCATGCGGTTTAGGGTGTAGGGTTTACGGTTTAGGGTTTCGGGTTTAGGGTTTAGGGTTTAGGGTTCAGGGTTTAGGGTTTAGTGTGGATGGTGTCGCTCTGCTGGAAGAGCTGGCCCTCATGCGGAGAAATCGCAAGCATGAAAACTCATTGAGGCGGTTCTAGTTAAACTTCGAACAGCACAGGCAAACAAAAAAGTTCCCGGAGGACTGTGTTCAAAGTGATCTGGGGCACCCAGGAAGTCGTGTGCCACGACACTCAACCTTCCCCTGAATTAAAGCCCGAATCCAAGTCATTGATTGCATTAGGACGAGTTTAAAGCATTCCCATACCTCGGTGGACACAAGCTTTGAAAGTCTCTGAACCCACAGTTCAATGGCTCTTGAAGGTTCATGGGTAGTTTCAAGTAGGGTTATAAGTGCCCTACATAAGTTGAAAAACCCGTTATGGCTATAGTTTCCCTACTTAACACCCTACCTAGACCTATAAAACCCTATGAAAGCCTTCAAGTAGTGTGAGCTTAGTCTGGTGCGAAAGAAACCGTGGCGCGCCCCAGATGCAAACATACAAAGGTAGCAGTGTAAATGGCACCACAGGTTTAGGGTTTAGGGTTCAGGGATAAGGGTTTCGGGTTTAGCAAGCAGCTCTTTTAGGAAAGTTAAGACACGGACCACCTCGAGTCTCAAGCCACAAACAAGCATCGGAAGTTAGTTGCAGATGGGGAGTTGGTGTTTCGACTTTCCCTAGCCCTTCACAGAGGAGAGGCTTGACATGCATGCGTTTTAATGTGGCTCCTGTTCTTGCGGGCGTTAAAAGTAAGAGGACTGCTGGGCCTCAGAAAGGCTCACAAGTACTGCTGACAGGCAGAAAAGGTTGGCGTTTGTAGCGAAGAATGGTTCATGCAACGCCCTAAACCCCTAAACCCCTAAGCCCCTAAACCCCTAAACCCCTAAGCCCCTAAACCCCTAAACCCCTACACCCCTAAACCCCTAAACCCCTAAACCCCTAAACCCCTAAACCCCTAAACCTTAAATCGGTGCGATCACATCTGCAAGCAGGCGAAGCGAGTTGACGTAGTCAAGAATGTGGAAGAGTTGCTTCGCCCCTCGGCCTTGGTAGGATATCCGTATGCCGTATTCCAAATTTCCCAGACTTGGTAGCCCAGTGGCACCCTGATTGCACAGTGGTTACTGGGCTACCCAGCAGAAGTAGCTAGAACTTTGTTTTTGCAGTTCGCACGACCTCCAAGTAAATCAAGTTATGCGTCGAGATGATGTCAGACAACTCAGGTCGTCTCGCCCACGAGCCGGCAGAAAAGAACTGCATAGGCTCCACTCGAGCGGGAATGGCTTGTCAGGTTTTGTCGGGTCTACGGGATTTCTAGGGTTCAGGGTTTAGGACTCAGGGCTTATGGCTTCACTGGAGTCCATACTTGAAGGTTCATGGGTAGACAAGGTTATATCTATAGTTATCCTACTTACTTCTAACTACCCCTGAACCTCCAAGTATGGGGATCCGGAGTTGCAAGCCTTGGAGGCCCCTCGCTGGCCGTTATTGGGGCCTTCGCGAAGAAGCTGCAAGATCTGCAGCAGGTGTCTTCAAGACGGACAAGGCCCCCGGGCTCAGGGCATGCGGTGGGAATTCTTGCGGTTTCGCTGCGATGCACACCATGCCCGAACGAGATGAAGCCCTAAACCCTACACTCCGCGGAGTGGTTCGTCCAGCTATGCCGGGAGCCAAAAAAACCCTAAACCCGAAACCCGAAATCCTAAACCCTAAACCCTAAGTTCTGCGGCCAGGGCTAGATCCAGCAGATCAAGCGTATCGAGCTCAATCACAAGATTCTGCCGCTTGGCCCAAGCTATCCCAAAGTTGACACAGCAGGTAATATAATAGTCTTCCCCTATGGTCCATTTATATTTTTTCTACGATAACCCCCCCCATACCCTATTCTAGTGTTTCAGGCCCCTAGATTCGCTAGCGTCAAGAACAGGGGTCTGTACCTAGGACAGGTTCTGGAGACCCCATAGCGTCAAGACGCAGATGCCAGGTGGCGCTCCACCTGACACTTCCCCTGCTGAGCTGACCGAGCACTGAGAGTTTGGTCGTGCCCACTGACACGGAGGTTTCCGAAATTAGGGGTACCTTTTTGGGGCACTTTTTCTATGGGAATCCTACTATATATTTGGGGTCTATGTTAGGGGTCCCCTATTTTCGTAAACCCCCATATGTGCTGAGCGTTTGCAACACCTGCAGCAAATTGCGAATACCGCAACAAGACCACTTGGTTCGCCCTCGTGATTTCTCGTAGCCTTGTACAGAGCATGAGAAGCGTACAGATCAGTGCTGCGCTGCGAAAAGGTACCGCAGGGACCCAGCCACAAAGACAGCGTTTAGGGTTTAGGGTTTAGGGTTAGGGTTTAGGGTTTAGGGTTTGGTGTATCAGGGTTTCGAAAGCAGCGGCCTGCTCTTGCCGCCCAGGTTCTTGAGCCCTGATACGCTTAAAGCCTGTGATGGGGATGCGGCTGGACATCGGTCATGTTGCGAAAGACATCTCGTCTCCTTGCGAAGGACAATATAGTCTTTGTAGGAACCCAGCTGATTGAAGCTCGTTGTGGAACTTGCGACCGGTCCCGGGCGGGGGTGCTCTGATAGAAGTTAATCTGAGTAAACCTGTATATCTCAAGCTTACGTTGTAAATAAGCCGAAGTATCTCAAAATTGCTTCTTATCGATGGTGATATAGCTCGAAACAGATATCTTTGCATATGGCGCTGCGGTGCAAAATTCAGTCTTTCTACAGGACGGCAAAATCAAGACATTCTTGATCAACCGACTCATCTGAAAAAGCACGTTGATGATTTTAGCAGATGGATTGCGACATGATGGCTTGGAAAGCCTCTGCAAAGGACGATGAGGAATGGGGAATTTCTTCGGCAATGAGCTTTTACTACGAGTTTTACTAGTAGGATTCGTTCTACAAGTGCCGTTAGTAATAATTACTTTTCATACTAGATGATTTTAGGCTTTAGGTTCGTTAGGGCTTGAGGCTTAGGGAAATCTGGGGGCCTTCGCGGGTTTACCGCTTAGGGTTCGTCGGGGTGTGGGAGGTCAGGGTTTGGGATTTAGTGGTAGTGCCAGGGTTTAGTGAAACCGATATCTCCTCCAGACAGAGGTCCGCAGAGGGTGGTCGCTTTTGACCCAAAACGGGTTGCCAGGGTTGCCAGGGCTGCTCCAGCCCCGGTAAGATAGGCCTTGCACATGTTGCAGCACCCGTCCGAGCAAAGTGCGCACGAAGCAGAATCCAACAAGAGCTCTCCCACGCAGGCTCTTGTCTTCATGTAGCATTCGCTATTCATCGCTACTGTTTGGATGAAGAAAGAAAGGTGCCAATGCCGCCGCTCACCCAGCTCTTGGCTCAACATGCTGCAGATTGCAAATGTTGACTGCTGATGGTACAAAGTTGCAACAAAGCACGGAAGCTCTTTTTTGCAAGCCTTCTTGTAGTAAGCAGCCGCTTCAATCCCGCGCATGCCCCGTGAAAAGCTAGTGTAGACTCTAGGTTTCCCCATGCGGCCATTGCTGATGGGCCGACTTCACGCCAATGCAGACAGCGGCATGGGTCCCAAAGTCGTAACGATGGCCTGTTTCAGAATTCTTGCAGTGGAGTGCGGAGCTTAGGGTTCAGGGTTTGGGGTTTGGGGTTTGAGGTTTAGGGTTTAGGGTTTGGGGTTTAGGGTTTGGGGTTTAGGGTTGTGGTTGGGTCTAGTTGACAGCAGTCGGCGTCCAAGAGCATCTTGGTTTAAAGTGAGGCCATGGTTTTGTTGCTTGTCGTGGCTTTGGAACGCGGCAAAGCATGGCAGCAAGCGAGGTTGAGCCCGGTTAAGGGTTCAGGGTTTAGGGTTGAGGGTTTAGGGCTACTTGAAGGTTCATGGGTAGTTAAAGTGCGGGTTATAAGTACGGCGACCATAAGTATGACTGGTTGCCACCTTCTTGAGGGTACTTGTCGCTCTACTACAAGCTACCCATGAACCTTTCGGCTTAGGGTGGTTCTGCGTCTTTACCATTTTTAGGTTTTGGGGCAGTTTTCGGATGCTGGGGTGCTAGGGTGATTTTGGGAGTTTAGGGTTTAGGGTTTAGGGTTTAGGGTTTAGGGTTTAGGGTTTAGGGTTTAGGGTAGGGTTTTAGGTCGTTAGGGTTCTGACTCCTTGGTGGCTTGGTTGCCCAGGTCACCTACACCCTCCTGGCGCAGGATGAGCTTGGTTTAAGGTTTAGGGTTTAGGGTTTAGGGTTTAGGGTTTAGGGTCAACTGATGGACGTGTTCTTCAGGGTTGGCGTAGCAGGCTTGCGGCCGGCTTCAAAGATGAACTCTGTGGCGAACTCGCAGTCAGTGCGCCTTCACTGACTCCTGCACCCTAAATAAACCCTAAACTCTAAACCCTTCGCCCTGAACACACACACACAGACACACACACACACACACACACACACACACACACACACACACACACACACACACCCACGCACGCACGCACGCACGCACGCACGCACGCACGCACACACACACACACACATACACACCTACACCTACCTAGTTCGAGTGTGAGTGTCAAAAAGGGGCTTGCAGTCCGTTGGAGTAGCATTCATGGTCTCGAAAGCAGCCCATGCCCATCAAGCTTCTCCACATCTATCCCAAAGCCAACGCTGCTTTGGGGAGCAGAGTATAGAGTTGAAGGCTTCGGGTGTAGCAGGTTTTAGGGTTTAGGGTTTAGGGCTTAGGGTTTAGTGTTTAGTTTAGGGTTTAGGGTTTAGGGTTTAGGGTTTAGGGTTTAGGGTTTAGGGTTTAGGGTTTAGGGTTTAGGGTTTAGGGTTTAGGGTTTAGGGTTTAGGGAGATGGAAGTCGGTTGAGTTGGCCAGGACCGATGGTGCGACAATTTGGGTGGTGCTGTTCGCATCGGTGACGACTTCAATGGCTACAGCACCTCGCCAGAGTTTGTTTTCACTTGGGTTTAGGGTTTAGGGTTTAGGGTTTAGGGTTTAAGGTTCAGGGTTTAGAATTTCCGCCTCCTGCAGGGGTATGGCCTCTGGGTGAGCATGCTGCGAGTTTACGGCTTTCGTGCACAATGTATGAACACCATTAGTGCTTGCCATCTCCATGATAATGTGGTACGCGCGGGCGTTGCTGTCACGCCCTGGACTTCCTCCCCATCCCTCTCTCTTTTTCTATGATACTCTTTCGTGGTGTCGTACCTACATCAACCTTTTTCCCAGTTTCTGATACCTCGAGAAGGAATGTGCAAAGCTCACCTTGGGTCTAACCATGCCCTTTGTCTTCCAAGCTTTGAGGTCCTCCACCCAAAGCCGAAGTGGAGAAATGTAAGCTCGAAGCCTACAGTAGAAGCTTGAACGTCAGGATTTGCAGTGACTTTGTCCTTGCGCTTGGTCTTCAAGTAAGATGGCTCCAGAACTATATAGCGCCGCAGCCGATGAATTGCACCACCTTCCCCCATCAAGCGCCCTTTGAACGCCCTTTGGCACCTACGCTAGCCAGGCCTCGTGGGCTGCCAGGCCCAGTGCAGCAAGGACTCGCCAGAGACCAGCTTGTAAAGCAATGTTGGACATGTTTCGCACGGGTGGGATGGCGACCAAAATCAGAAAGCCCGAAAGGCACGAGCCAATTTCCTTCATCCGAAGATGCTGGCCGGTCTGGGGCGTTAAGTTTTTGGATGGAGGCTTGGGGGTGTAAGATGCAATTATTACTCGGGGAATGCGGGTCCTTGTTTCTGCTTTCGCAGCAAGAGCACGTCAGTCACCACAACAAACCAAGGGATTTGGCGTCTTGGGCTTTGTAGTTGAAGATTTTAGGGTTTTGCTTCGGTTTTGGAGGTGTTCCTAAGTCAGTGTACCTTTTTGCAATATTCCCTTTAAACGATAAGGCTGGGTAGGGTTTAGGGGTTTAGGGGCTTCTATTGATAAAGGGTACTTCTTCGGGGACCCAACCTAGAGCAACCCCAGATGATTGTCTGGGTTTTGAGCTGAGGCATGTTCCCTACTTGAAGGTTCATGGGCTGCATGGGTAGTTATAAGTAGGGTTATACGCACCCAAAACAAGGTTATAAGTATTACTTATGACCCTACACCCTAAACCCTAAACCCATGAACCTCCAAGTATTTCTGAGGAGCATGCCTTGCACTGGGCCCGTGCTCAAGAGGTTCCAGTCATGAAAACGCGTAAATACCTACCCCCCAACCCCCCAAACCCCTAAACCCTAAATCCCTAAGCTAGACCTCCTAAACCCTTAACCCTTTAAAACCCTAAACCCCCAAACCCCCAAGCCCTAAACCCTAAAACCCTAAACCCCAAGCCCTAAAAACCCCAAGCCCTAAACCCCTAAACCCTGCACATGTCTTCGGACCAGGATCGGCGGTGTGCCTTTTTGTCCTTCAACCAGCTCTTCGGCTTGAAGATGTATTGCGGTTTAGGGTTTAGGGTTTAGAGTTTAGGGTTTAGGGTTTAGGGTTCAGGGTTCAGAGCTCAGGGTTCAGGGTTCAGGGCTTAGGGTTTCGGGTTCAGAGACGTTTTATGTCTCCTTTCTTGGGCTTTCTAAGGGCCAGCCTAGGTGAGGTCCATACATTGTGGGCCGTGTTTTTTGTCTTTTGTGTTTGGCGTCCTTGTTATGATAGACTTTGGTTTTATTTTGGGGTGCTCTGGAAAGGAGCCATAGCTTAGAGAGATTCTGTCTAGATGCTTCTTGTGTTTTTCCCGATTCCTCTTCTACATACCAGAAGAAAGAAGTGCATCGCGGTCGATCCGTGTAGCGAGGGAGAGGTTAAGACAGTGGCCGGAATAATTACTACTAGCGTTCCCTTACGGCCCCTTTTATAATTATATTACAACAACCCCCATTATCCTTATGGTCCCTTTCAGAATGATACTACCCCGCCGCCCCCCCCCCCCCCCCCATACCCCCCCCCCCCCACCCCCCACCCCCCCCCCCCCCCCCACCCACCCCCCCCCGCCGCCCCCCATACCCCCCCCCCCGCCCCCCCCCACCCCCCCCCCGCCCACCCCCACCGCCCGCCCCCCCACCCCCCCCTAAACCCTAAACCCCAAACTACGTTCTCGATCGCCCTGAGTAGCAACCCGACGGACGGCTCCCGGACAGAGAAGTTTCTTCTGGATGTGCTGAAATTTGGGATGTTCCCCTTCTACTACTCAGTCCTTATAGGGATTCTAGTATCCCCCCTCCCCCCCATTCTAATTCCTATTATCAAGGACTGTTCGTGTTAGGGGGAACATCCCAAGCTTAAGTCCGCATGAGCAGTTCTTGGCTAGCTTTCCCGCCCTCGTTGAATTTGCACACGCTGGCTCATGTCGATTTCGAGTTGACTCTAATTCTAGCATGGCCACAGTTGCCAGTGTGCCCCGCCACCCCCCCCTCCCCGTGGTAATGCACTTCTGCGTGATGCCTCACATGATGCAGCCGGACACTTTTTTCGAGCTGGCAGCCCCTAAACCCTAAACCCCAGGGCCCTTTGCCCCACAAAGCCGGTCAGCACTTCGTTTTTTTTGTGGTGTCCGTGCACTCTGGTACTGTACCTATAAAGTACGCAATGTCATGATCAACCTTGAGTTAGTTGATTACTGGGACAAAAACCCTTAAGCCTTAACCCTAAGCCCCTTACAGAGACTTCCAAGACACTGCCCACTGAATCGAAAGCCTTCGTCCCATGCCCCTCAGGAATGACGGCGACTTTGATGCAGAAAGGCGTAGCTGGTGTGGAGCGTATTCAGGTTTTGATTTTTTGTGTAATGTGTAGTACATTATTATTAATATATATATATATATATTTTTTTTTTAACTCAGTATATTGTAAAAAACGTCATTCAAGGAACTGCAGGTTTCGGGTGCCGACCTGCACCAGGGTTTAAGGTTCAAGTCACAGGGTGGCCCCGACACAAGGAGGATCAGCGCCCTTCCGTCAGGCTTTGGCTTTGAGGTCTTGGAACCAAGACCAACCATGAGGCCATGAGAGCCACAAAGCCCTCATCTCCTCAACATTATGCACATCACCCCCCCAGCCTAAGCTCTCCAGTAACAAGAGCATTATGGACTTTAGGGGTTAAGGGTTTTGAATCATTGAACCTCAAGCACACCCTAAACTTCGCACCCTGGGCCCCTCTTCATCCTTCTGGTTCTTCAAGTAGGGAATGAGGTATACATGGTGGTTGTAGGCTTAATGCCTCAACCCTGAACCCTAAACCCTACAAAGTGCGTTGCAAAAGGGATTAAAGGGTAATGTGGCGCGCCCAGGTTGGTGCTCCAAGTATGCTGTGTGTGGGGAGCCCACCACCACGCCCAACGAGTTCCCGCAGGATTGGTGGTTTAGGGTTTAGGGTTTAGGGTTTCGGGTTTAGGGTTTAGGGTTTAGGGGGTTCAGGGTTTAGGGTGACTGTGCAAATGCGGGCTACCTACCTACTCATCAAGGGGCAACTTCTTCTTGTTGTTTGGGCACTGGCTGGTAGGCAGGGCCCACAACAAGTCAGGGCCCTAGGGTGTTGCACACATGGCTCACAAGCTGAAAAGAACATGCCGCAAGTAGCGTATCAACTGCGACCCGGGATTTGGGTCTGTTGGTTGCTTGTCTGTGCTTGCAAGGTTTGCTGTCCACTAGTTTGCCGAACCCCCCAAACCCCCCCAAACCCCCCCACACCCCTTAAGAGGATCCGCGCGGATGGCTGACCTTCGCGCGCGACTTTGCAGAGGTGCGGTGTCGGATGTTGGGGCTCCAGGTGCTTGGGCTTGCGCCTCAGGGTTTAAGGGTTTAAGGGTTTTTGGGTTTTTGGGTTTTTGGGGCTTAGGTTTTAGGGTATAGCTCTAATTCCAAGCCGTGCACCATACGAGTTTTTTTTGCAAGTTCGGGTCCCTTTTTGAGGTGCTTTTGTAGAGAGTCCCATCGTGAGAGGGACCCCCACAGGCTTAGAGCTCGGATGAGGCTAGTCCCAGGATCAAGGGGTGCGGAGTTCAGTGTGACACATGGGACTCTACACCCTGAACCACAACACCTAAGCGGTATCTCTACATACCCTGCTCGCCCTATACATCCTGAACTCAGGGATGGGTTGCTCCAGGGATTCAGAATTACACGCTGTTGACTGAGAGGTGTCGCTTATCGGCCAAAGGGATCTGTACCTGACATCACCGGCCCAGCTCAACGCTGAACCCCTCCACTGCTCAACCGTAGCCCGTAGGCATGCCAGTATCGCTTAGCAGAAGCCGCATGGTGCATGAATCTGCAAGGAAATGTAACGTTGCAGGAACGAGCTTTCGACCCTAAACCTGGCTTCTATGTCCACGCACGGTAAAAAAAGCCTCAGATTTGAAAAGCGTTGCGCGTTCACCCGACAAGACGACACCCCACGTTCATTGTGCAGCATTCTCGCATGCCCAGCATGCGGGGGTTGTTTCGGGTCAAAAGGGACCTTTAGTATAGCAAGTTCTATGTGGGGGTTTACGAAAATAGGGGACCTAAAGTAGACCCCCAAACAGAAGGATCCCCTTAGAATAAGGAGCCCAACAAGGTACCCCTGATTTCGGAAACCCATGCAAAGCTTTCCTCAAACCCTAAACCTTGAACCCTAAACCCTAAACCCCCAAACCCTAAACCCTAAACCCTAACGGGCTGCTCATTTTTAGAGATAATTAGAGCAACTTCGTTCATGTGCCGCACCTGGCTCTTCCTGCTGCCTGCCAGCGCATGGTCGCCTTCGCCTGCTGAAGACTTTGATGTTCTTCGGCTGTGCGGGTTACATATTATACAGATACTTGTAGATATATTTATATGTATGAAATTATACAAATATGCACATTATATATAGATACATATATTTATAGACAAATATATATATATATATATATATATATACGCCTTTTATCCTGGCTAGTTGTAATGATAGGTATTGATCCCAGGCGCTTGCTTAGCGGCTCAGCATCCTGGCGTCTTGCTTTTGGGCACTGGGGAGTCCCCATAGAGGGCCCAACCAAACCAAGGCCGCCACCACGCGGATCTTCCTCTACTTCAGACGCTGTTCATGAATGCTGTGCCGCATGCTGGGTTTAGGGTTTGGGGTTTAGGGTTTAGGGTTTAGGATTTAGGGTTTAGGGTTTAGGGTTTAGGGTCTATAGGCCTTAGGGCATAGAGTGTGATGTTGAGTCAAGGCATTGAGTAAGTGTCTGGGTGACCACAGGAAAGAAACATGACTGGACACACGGACAGACGAAGCAACACCAAGGACACGATGGCGCACTCTTCAAGACATGGCGTTCGGCGCGGCGCCCAGAAGTTGGCAATGTGACGTGAAGGACCTTGCAGTCGAGAAAGTAAGCTTTAAACTTTACCCTTGTTTGGCGTAGCATCTTACATGATCCCACATCGTAGGAAGCTGGACAGATAGGAGCCCGCAGGCCACACACCTGAGCCTTGTAGCCTGGACTTCCAGTGCGAAGTAGGACATGTTGATCAACAACGTGAGACGTCATGCAGATTCTGGTGCCTACTGTAGCCGTTTGTCGTCTGGGCGTATCTGATGCTGGTTATCATGCATCTCACACGAGGGAAAGCGGTGGCAAATTTGCAACGAACAGTTCGGCAAAAGCCGAGCGGTAGTGATCTATGGCAACCTAGGATGAGCATTTCGCCCCCCCAAGCAGCAAGGCCTTGAGAGTGGGTCTCGGCTACTCGCATAATATACTGCTGAAATCATCTCTTTGGGTTTCAGAGACTCACTGGCATGAGGCATGGCGCCTATAAACCCTACAAACCCTATAAACCCTAAAAACCCTACAAACCCCATTAACCCTCTAAACCCTATAAACCCTCTAAAGCCTACAAACCCTACAAACCCTACAAACCCTACAAACCCCATTAACCCTACCAACCCTACAAACCCAAAACCACAAGTTCTGGGGACCCCAAGAAACCAGTCGTCCCCAATTCTACAAACCCCATTAACCCCCTAAACCCAACAAACCCTAAACCACAAGTTCTGGCCAAGAAGCCAGTCGTCGTCAAGGTGCCGACAGCGGCCGCGCCGCTGCGGCGCCCGCCGAGCTGCTGGCCGAGCTGCCGCGGCAGCCTCGCAGATCTGCACCCATCCTTCGAGCGCCACTGGGGCCGGTTTAGGGTTTAGGGTTTAGGATTTATAGGGTTTAGGGTTTAGGGTTTAGGGTTTAGGATTTATAGGGTTTAGGGTTTAGGGTTTAGGGTTTAGGGTTTCGATTTAGTAAGTTCAGGGTGTAGTAAGCTCAGGGTTTAATAAGTTGAGGGATTAAGGTTTTTTAGGGATTAGGGTTTAGGGTTTAGGGTTTAGGCACCCGTCTTTCGAGCGCCACTGGGACCTGGGTCGTATGAGGACATGACCCAGAGAGCCCAATGCCCCTTAAAGAAGGAATATTTCTAGATATAGATATATATATATATACCGTAAAACATATTCAGGATCCGTTTATAACAAAAGGTATTTTTCTTAATTAAGGGGTATTGGGCTCTCTGGGGAGAGGAGCATGTGTTTGGTCTTGAGAGTGCCTGCTGGGGGTTGCAAACACGCATTGAGAGGATGAAGAACTGCCGGGCACTGACGCTGTTGCTTCTTGTTCTCAGCCGTGGGTTGTTCCACCTACTCTGCATGTGCTTGAGATTCGGATTGAGCACGGCCCACGAGTCAGCACGACATAGTGCAGCCTTGCACCCTGAGCAAGCTGCTACTTGCACCCTGCAAACTGAGGTGAACAGCGCTTATGGGAACGAGGGATGAGGCGGTCTCCTTGCCTGCAGCCTGAGATAGCCACAGCACACCACGGTGCCAAGAGCAGGACCAGCAAGATCCATTTCAAGAGACAGCCAGGCATGCAGGCAGAGAGAGAGAGAGGGGGGGGGGGGGGCAGAATCACATAAAAGCCTCCAGTAAACCCGCAGAAGCCCCCGAACCCACAAGCCTCCTATGCCTCCCAAGCCTTCACACTCCCTTCTCCCCACGCTCCATCCTTCCTTCCCTCCTTCCCCCCCCCCCCCCCCCCCAAACGACCTATAAACCTTGCAAAACCCTGAAGCAACTAAACCCTAAAGCCTAAGAACTTAAACCCTATAAACTCTGTAAACTCTATAAACCCTATGAGCCCTCTAGACCCTCATAAACCGTCAGAAACCTTCCTAAACCCTCATAAACCCTTCTAAACCCTCATAAACCCTCATAAACCCCCCTAAACCCCCATATACCCCTAAACACTCATAAACCCAATAAAGCCGCAAAAAAACCTTTAAACCCCCCAAACCCCCCAACCCTCCCAAAGCCCTATAAAACCTCAAACACCTCACCCGAAACCCTAAACCCTCATAAGCCCTATAAACCCCAAACCCCTGAACCCTCCCAAAGAACCCTAAACCCTAAACCCTCATAAGCCCTAGATAAACCCCAAACCCCTGAACCCTAAACCCTAAACCCTAACCCTAAACCTATAAACCCTAAACCCTCCTTATAGCCCTCCCAAAGAACCCGAGGTTTGTGGGCCTCGGCCGACGCTACGGCCTAGAACTCCGGGACCTCCTCGGGCCCTGGGGCACCTATGCCTTGGACTACGAGTTCGAGCGCCCCCTTGCTTACAGGTTTACTGGGTTGGGTTTAGGGTTTAGGGTTTAGGGTCTAGGGTTTAGGGTTTAGGGTTTAGGGTTTAGGGTTTAGGGTTCAGGGTTTAGGGTTTAGGGTTAGTCCGGGTTTAAAAATTTGGGTTTGCAGTTTAGGGTTTTGTAGGGACTTCGGGAATGAGGTACATATGACCCCCTTGAAGGGGTGATCCCGGTCGCCCCCCCCCCCCCCCTCCCTCCCCTGGTGTGGTCCCCCCCCCCCCCCGCAACCCCTTAAACCCTAAACCCTCAACTCTAAACCCTAAGACCAACCCACAACCACACCACACATGGGGGAAACTCTAAACCCTAAACCCTAAACCCTACACAAACCCGAAACCCTAAACCCTAAAACCACCCGGGGGGGGGGGGGGGGGGCAGCCTGCACCGGCATCATGCAAGGTGCCTTATTTTGCCGAATTCCCGATTAGCATAAGTTCTCAAGCGTCCATGAGTTTCCGGGCTGTGGAGGTCTGGGGTTAGACCCTTCTTTCGCTGTTTCCATTTTGGGAGGAGACAATGGAGAAGATTCTGATTGCGGTTGGTGCTTCTGGCTTCGGGCGTCTTCGGCCGGTTGAGAATTGGGCTAAATGTGCAGGCCAGGGGCAGGATATGCGGTCTGGGGCTAGCAGCTGCTAGCTTCCTTGTACGGAGGTTGAAGAACCCAACCCCTCAAGTAAACCTTACAATCTCTCCCCCCATTGACTGAACGCCTGGGTGTCCACTGAGGCTGGGATACGCAAGGGAGGCCGTGTCGGGAGGGGTTCTGCTGGGGTGGCGATGCAAAATTTGGTGGGGATCTGGGGCCTTCCGACGGGAGGGGGTTGGTAGGTGTTACTCGAGAGGGCCAGTTGACTTGACAAGGTTTTGTCCCTAAACCCTAAACCGTAAACTCCTGGACGCACTCCAATAGTTACTCCAAAACTCGCAGCCCCGAACCATGGAGCTCGCCAGCGCAAATCAAGAAACCCTGAAACCTTCGGCTCATACATCCAGAAGGGTGTAATTGGGGTTGTAGGCTTGGGGCCTTGGGGGCATTGTAGCTACGGTTAGCTAGGCGGAGTTTACAGTTACCCTCAACCCTAAAGCCCACACACTGAACCCTAAACTCCTAAACAAAACGCCCTACTTACAACCCTAAACCGTAAACCCTAAAACGCTCGTGAACTTGGAGCCTAAGCGGCAAAACACGCCTGAAGGGAGTCCAATGCAAGGTTTCGGGTATTAGGGTTTTAGGGTTTAGGGTTTTAGAGTTTTAGGGTGAAGGGGGTTGGGACACCTTAAGCACCTTAAACTGCAAGAAGCCCAAAACTTGGTTTAAAGCTAAGTCCCCTGGATGGTTTGAGGAATCGTTCCCCTGAAATTCAGGGGGTATCTTCGCCAAGCTTTCTGGCCAAAGATTTGCCCTCCCATGCATCTTTTCCGCGGATGGAAATCGGCTGCAGCTGCACCCTCAGCGGGCGCAGATGCAGCCTCAGTGGGTGCAGATGCAGCAGCTGCAGCTGGTGCCGAAGCGCAGACAGCTGAAGTTGAAGTCACGGTGCTGACTTTGGCTGGCGAGCCGCTGGTTGTTGTGAACCTCCCCAGCAGCAGCACGGTTCTGGATCTGAAGCAGGCGATAGCCACTCGATGTGGCCACCTGGTGGAAGTGCAGCAGCTGACATACAAGGAGAGCGCCTTGAATGACAGCAAGCAGACGCTGACCGAATGTGGCCTTGAAGGAAACGTTGCACTAACGCTGCTTGTGAAGGGGATTGACGTTGACCTGCACATTGAAAGACTGCGTGCCAAAGGGCGCATGACGGAAGCGGAGGATGTCAAGCTTCTGTGCGCGATGGCCGAGAACATCTTCCTCAAGGAGCCTTCCTTGTTGCTCGGCAGGTTCAGGGTTCAGGGTTTAGGGTTTAGGGTTTGGGGTTTAGGGTTCAGGGTTTAGGGTTCCAGTGCCGGCACGTCGGAGAGCCCGGGTTTAAAAAGGGCTTAGAGTTCAGGGTTCAGGGTTCAGGCAGAGGAGGCAGTGCTGGCAGTCATCAGGTCCGGTTTTATAAAAGATCCTAAACCCTAAACCCTAAACCCTAAACCCTAAACCCTAAAGGGTGCAGGGCTTAGGGTTTAGGGCTCAGGGATGTTTATTGTTTAGGGTTTAGGGTAGTTAGTCAAAGAGTTTCAAGGGCCATCCGAGGTTTAGGGTTTAGGGTTTAGGGTTTAGGGTTTAGGGTTTAGGGTTTAGGGTTTAGGGTTACTTGTCTGAGGGATTTTCAAAGGGCAATCTGAGGTTGCAACTCGAACCTCCCTTGGTGATCAGCGGCAATCTCGTGGGCTGCGCAGACCAACTGCACCACATTTTCGATACTTGGGGAAGCCCATTTGGTACCCTCGTTTTTGGTTGTTGTCTTTTGTTGGGGTTCCAGTAAGGATACCCTTTTGAGGGTTTAGGGTTTAGGGTTCAGGGTTTAGGGTTTTGGGTGGCCCCGTGGTACCCTTTTTGCACTTTTGGTTCAAGGCTCCCTGAAAGAGTAGCCTAAATATAATATGGCTGCTGGGCTACCAAGGATACCTTCGGTGATCCTGCTGCATCACAGCATCTTTTCCTGGGAAACTATGTCAACAGGGGGCATCGAGCGGTGGAGACCTTGACGCTCCTGCTCCTGTACAAGCAGAAGTATCCAGAGAGGATACACTTGCTGCGCGGAAAGTTTGAGACAATCAGCCTGTCAAGGATCTATGGCTTCTATGATGAGTGCAAGAAGAAGGAGCTGAGCGTGCGAATCTGGAAGGAGTTTGTGCGGGTCTTCAACAGCATGCCCATCTGTGCTTTGGTTCAGGAGCGCATCTTGTGTGTTCCTTCTGGCTTGTCCCCTTTCCTGCAGAGCCTTGATGACCTGCGAAAGATACACCGGCCTACAGATATACCAGATCACGGCCTGCTCTGTGATCTGCTCTTTGCCTATTATGATGACCACGTCCGAGGCTGGGAAGATGGTGATAAGTCCATTGAGATGTGCTTCGGTCTAGATGTGGTGGAAGAGTTTCTGACAAAGAGTGGCTTGGAAAAGATGTGTTGTTCACCACGAGTCCTGGAAGAAGGCAAGGAAGCGCGGCTTGGTGATCGGCTGCTTCAAGTGTTTACGGCGTCCAACTACTGTGGAGAGTTTGACAACAGAGGGGCGGTGCTTCTTCTGGATGAGCACTTGGAACACAAATTTGTGACGCACGACCTTCCTTGGCAAGAACGTGGTCGATGAGTGCGGGGGTCTGATCGCGTCAGTTGTTGGGAGGCGTTGGACGCTTATTCCTGCTGCCGTGAGAATGTCAGACGAAGCAAGCCTTGACAAAAGTCTACATCCGATGCTCACTAAGCCAGAACTTCATCACATCTATCGGCGTTTCATACGGGTTCTAGGCTTGGGGCCTTCATCACATTTTTTTGGTTTTAATTGGGGTCTTAGGCTTGGGGCCTTCATCCTAAAAACTCACACCTGCAGGGAGCAGCAAGCCGTGTTGGACACGGAGGGTGCAACCACCGTTGCTCGGTGAAGGGGTTGGGTGAAGGAGGGGGGGAGGGGTGGGGAGAGGGGCTGTTCCTGAGCACCCTAAACCCGAAACCTGTGGTTGGTTAAAGAGTACGAGCCGACGGACTTCTGGAATCCCCTAGGCCCTGGTTGTGAGTGTCATAGCCAATATTCCATATACCCTGCAAAGTGGACTGCCCCTATACCCTGAACCCTGAACCCCAAACCCTTTTTGTTTTGCTGGCTACAAGTAGGGTTCAGAGTTTACGGTTCGGAGCCACCAATATCGGGTTACAAGTCGGCCAGCTGTGTTTGTGAGCTTATTAAAGTACAGAGGCTCCTAAATTTGTTTACGACCTTGTTTACTTCTTTCTACTACCAATGCATAATATCGCTTTTGAACCCTCAAGCAAATTCTCCAGTCTCGTTCATCTCTAAACCGGCTTGCGCTTCATCGCAGTAGGATCTCCAGAAGAAAACAACAAGGTCCCTGCAACCCGCGCAAAATCCCACCTGCTCCCTCCCCCCCAAAACTTCCCCGAAAATAGGGGTACCCTTATTGGGGGTCCTTTAAGGGGATTCTATTCGATTTGGGGATATTTGGGGGTATAAAAGGGGTACCCACTATTTTGGGAAATACCCAAATCCCAGGTTGATGTCGGCGCCAATCTTGGCTTTCGGTCGATCTACGTGGCGGCGCACCTCCCGCAACCTGCCCTAGATTTGAAGTGCCCAGAGAGCCCACTACTCTTCTAAGCGGGACTATGCCTCAACTACATGGAGGTTCATGGATAGCTATAAGTAGGGTTGTGGTTACCCTAAATAGGCTTGTTTATAATAACTAGAGTTATCCTGCGGTGACCCCTAAACCCTTAACCCTTAACCCTAAACCCTAGCGGTGACCCTGTACTAGACCCAAAGCCGTGAGCTCCATCGGGACATCTAAGCCCAGTCTGAACTTGTGGGTTTCATTAGCTAAGAATTGCTTGAAGGTTCATGGGTATTAACAAGTAGGGTTCTATGGTGCCTGAAATGAGGTAATAACTCGAACCCCTGCTTGAAACCACACATGAAACCGCCCAGTAGCCCTAAACCCTAAACCCTGAACCCATGGCAAGGCACAGCTCGGTGCTAGCGGTCGAAGCCAACCCAGTTCTCTACCGGATGCTGCTTTGGAACCTCCGCGCCAATAACGTGACGGACCCCTGACCATGGAAAGACGACTTTGGGATGCTTAGGCGTAAGGTCAATTAGGGTTTAGGGTTTAGGAGTCAAAGGTTTAGGGTCTGTAGGGTGTAAGGCCCAGTAAAGACTGCTGGGTCGCTGTAGGGCAATAAGTAGGGTGTCCATGTTTATAATTGATTAGTCCCCTTTTTCAGGGTACGTATAACCCTGCTGATATCAACCCACAAACCCCCAAGTAAGGTTAGGGGTTTGCCTGTGGTGTGTTCTAGTCGTGCCCTTGGACCTCTTAAGCGCAGCTTTGGAGAGCAAAGTTGAAAAAGAGGTGTATATTTGTTTCGTCTTTTCTACCCTTGAAAGCTGACAATGCAAAGGACTCATACTCGGCTTAGAGTCTCAAATAAGTTTACTGTTTAGGAATCAGGGTGATTGTGCTAAAGCTGCTTTGCGGGGTTGGCATGCGTGCGGTTTGGAGCGCGGAGTTTGGGGCGTGAAGCTTTGTGCGCGGTTCTGTCTGTGAGAGTCTTGCAGCATCGGAAAGCAATCACCGAAACAAACATCGCGCGAACGTACTCGCCAAGATTGGCGCGAAAGATGGCGCAACGGTGCAACCCTGACTCTCTTAAACCCCCTTGTCATGTGGGCAGTTCTCTCAATAGGGTCCCTTTTTGGGTTCTTTTTTATAAGGGTGGCGGGCCGTATGCCCAGCCTGTGAAGTCATAGTCACGAAGGTCAACCATCCGTGAGCCGCCGAACTCTCAGCTGAGGACCGAGTGTGGCCGGTCAACGCGGCTCTGGCCGGGGTGGGAGCTGGACGCTGCGACCCGGTTGCGGGGCTGCTGGCAGATTGTGCCACCTTAAAGGTGCGCGTTGCTAGGCTGGTCACAGCAAAACTGTCTAAGGTTCAAATCAAGCCCAAGTTTTTTTGAGCTCCAGAAGCCAGCATTACTGTTGAGTGTTGTGAGAGAGGAAGAGAGAGCACAACAGGACTTCGTGCGGTAGGTGAGGTGTGTGTTTGTGCCACCCTGCGGTGCTTTGCCGGTGTAGAAAGACTGAACCCGATGATGATAATCCCAACCTTATGAGTCCAGAAAGAGTGGCAGAAAAAATTGAGCTTTAAACATGCATCAGGCAGACCATGGACGTCACCACCGCTCCGGCTTCGCTGGGGGCAGCTGCCAGGGTGACGAGGGTGCGGCGGCGTGCTTCCGAGTGCCCGCCTGGTCGCTGGGAAACTTGCTGGAGCACAGGGGGACGGTGTGATAACCTGAAGGGTGTAAGGCCTCTTGCTTTGGAGAGTTTGTGCCCAACGACCATACCATGCTGAGATGAAGGGCCGAGTTTTTTTTTGACGGTTTAGGTAAAGTCGGGCGTTCCTAGTCCTTGTCCTCTGTGTCAAGAGTTCGTAAAGTCGAAAAAGCTGCACCCACCTTACCGACTGGAGGGCAACTCATGACGCCTCCGCCCCACAAGAGGAGCTCGTGAGGATCAAGACGGTGGATCACTTGAAGCTGAACTGCGAAGGTTGCGAGTACCATGTTCTCACTGATCCGGCGCTGCAGCGCATGAGGCGCGCCCGGGCATGAAGCCTTCAGCATGCTTAGGGTTTAGGGCTTTAGGGCTTTAGGGGTCTAGGAGTTCAGGGTTTAGGGTTTAGGGTGACGATGCTGAGTATCGCAAATCAGGTTGAACCAACCCATATCGCTAGCTACCCTGCTTGTAACCCAAAGTGACGTTCTCGCAAGGAAACTACTTGTAAGCCTACATCCCCAGCCCGCAACATCCCTCAAGGACCCAGACTAACAAAAGCACGGGGGCTCCCAGAAGAAAGGGGGTCGGAAGAACTACTAGTAGTATTCCCGTACGGTCCCCATATAAGTATACTACACAATCTCCCAAAACCGTTTTCTACTTATGAAAAGGCCCTTAAGATCAACCCTTGATGATGGTCCGAATCCAGAAAGCAGTCTTCCTCAGGAGCGTTCCTAAATGAAGATCGAAGTTGTGTTTGGGCCCATATCTGGGGGGAAGGTCCCGTGGCCACTTGGCCATCAGCGGCGAGATCCACCACCCAGACAGATTTCCCGGCATTTCGCGTGCCCAGGCTTGCCAAGTAATTAATAATAATAATAATAATGATGATGATAATAGTAATAATAATTGTAATAGCAATAATAATAGTAATAGTAATAGTAATAGTAATAGTAATAGTAATAGTAATAGTAATAGTAATAGTAATAGTAATAGTAATAATAATAGTAATAGTAATAGTAATAGCTTCCGAGTTATTTCCCTCTGTGCTCTACAAGCCGAGTTGGGTCGAGGACAGGATGCTCCCACCGTTGTGGGCTTTTGGTGTGTAACCCTAAACCCTAAACCCTAAACCCTAAACCCTAAACCCTAAACCCTAAACCCTAAACCCTAAACCCTAAACCCTAAACCCTAAACCATGGCTGCCGATTGCGCGAACTGTTAGCAGCGCAAGATCTTCAACCCTAGGCTTGGGGTTTCGAATGTCGCTTTGCCTCTGCAAACTTAAACCACAAAAGCCCGCAATGTGGAGGGTTTAATAAGGTTCATCTAGGGAGCCTTGGGATATTTGTTTCATCTTCCGATTGCGAGCCAGGGGCGGCTCAGAGAAGCTCCGTTTTTGAAGCGCGAAGCTCGCGAAACTCCCGAGCTTGAGACGTCAAGCTTCAGGCGAAGCGCGAAGCTCGCGAAGCTTCAGACTTCAGGCTTCAGGCGAAGCGCGAAGCCCACGAAGCTCGCGAAGCTCCCGAGCTTCAGACTTCAAGCTTCAGGCGAAGCTCGCGAAGCTCGCGAAGCTTCAGACGTCAGGCTTCAGGCGAAGCGCGAAGCTCGCGAAGCTAAAGACTTCAGGCTTCAGGCGAAGCGCGAAGCCCACGAAGCTCGCGAAGCTCCCGAGCTTCAGACTTCAAGCTTCAGGCGAAGCTCGCGAAGCTCGCGAAGCTTCAGACGTCAGGCTTCAGGCGAAGCGCGAATCTCGCGAAGCTAAAGACTTCAGGCTTCAGGCGAAGCGCGAAGCCCACGAAGCTCGCGAAGCTCCCGAGCTTCAGACTTCAAGCTTCAGGCGAAGCTCGCGAAGCTTCAGACGTCAGGCTTCAGTCGAAGCGCGAAGCTCGCGAAGCTTCAGACTTCAGGCTTCAGGCGAAGCGCGAAGCCCACGAAGCTCGCGAAGCTCCCGAGCTTCAGACTTCAAGCTTCAGGCGAAGCTCGCGAAGCTCGCGAAGCTTCAGACGTCAGGCATCAGGCGAAGCGCGAAGCTCGCGAAGCTTCAGACTTCAGGCTTCAGGCGAAGCGCGAAGCCCACGAAGCTCGCGAAGCTCCCGAGCTTCAGACGTCAAGCTTCAGGCGAAGCTCGCGAAGCTTCAGACGTCAGGCTTCAGGCGAAGCGCGAAGCTCGCGAAGCTTCAGACTTCAGGCTTCAGGCGAAGCGCGAAGCCCACGAAGCTCGCGAAGCTCCCGAGCTTCAGACTTCAAGCTTCAGGCGAAGCTCGCGAAGCTCGCGAAGCTTCAGACGTCAGGCATCA